TGGAAGCTGGGTTGTCCAAGCTGCTGGGGGTAGGGAATGAGTTGGGAGCATCTTTGGGCAGGTTCGTCATTGGGTGCCACGCCTCACCCTTGCTGCACAGCAGGCCCTCTGTACCTGAGGCGTCTTTGCTACTGAGTGGAGAACCGAGGCTAACCAGCAGCTTTGCTGCCCTGCTGGATTGGCCTGAACAGCCGGCCAGGCTGCTGCGCATGTGGCCGGAATGAAACCCGCTGTACAAATGGTTGTGGTGTCCTGTAAAGGTCGCCAGCTGGTGGAACACCTACCCAGGTTTCAGTTCTGCTGCCCTACGTGGAGTAGCGAGGAAGAGGCCGGCAGGTGCAGAACGCTTGCTGTGGTGTTGGAGGGTCATCTGGGTCATTCGTCCCCTCCCTGAATTCACTGTCTGCTGCCCAAACACTCCCTGCTGGATGGTGCAGAAAGTCAGGCCAGGCAGCTTGGCTGGGGTGGTCTTGCCTGGAACTGGCTGCCCAGTCCGAGTCTCTCCTGTTTGAGATACTTATTCCCCCTCCCCACAGTATCTGAGCCCCTCACCATCTCCCATGCATTTATCCTCACCTCTCCAGGAGGCAGGGCAGGCTTGTGATGACCTGCCCCTGCACAGATGGGACCTGAGGCCCCAGGAGGCTAAGGGGCATGCCCAAGGGCACACAGGAAGTCTGAGGCAGAGCAGGAAATTGAGCCTGGATGGCCCAAGTCCTAGGCTCGAGCCCTGCCCTGTCTCAGCTACCTCGGGGAGTGTGATGGCTCGGGGCTCAGTGGCATTGTGCTGTGGACAATGTGGTGGTGGCTGGGGGCAGTTGCATTTTTAGTAGATGTATAGGAGGGACGTCTGTAACAAACCCCTTACATCTTGTATCGGCAAGTGCTTGGGCCTGCCAGCTCCATGCTGCCCCGGGGAGGGAGGAAACCACGTGGGCCTGCAAGCCGTTTGGTTTCCTGCAAGGCCTGCAGCTGTAGCAGGCTGTGGGACTGAAAGCGGGTGTTAAAATCTAATAAAGCTCTCAATCAGCAATTCCCCAAAGCCCATCTTCATCTCTGCAGCATTCGGCTGCTCTACGCCTCTTTCCTTTCCATGCTGTGTAAGGGACCAGAGGCAGAAGCTGTGGGCTCTGGCCTTTCCCTGGAGTCCCTCTGTCCCCAGTACTGAGAAATCTGGGATTCATGGGCCAATATGTGTAGTGCAAAGGGGAGCTGGCACGTTGGTGCTGACGTGATTTGTGGGCTCCTCGCTGGTGAGAGGCCCAGGAGCGTCTACATTCCCTCAAGCTGTCACTTCCTGCAGTGGCTGGCAGTCTTGCACTGGGATTTCCAGGAGGCTGAGGTGAGGAGCCTGGGTTTGCCGGAGCCAGGCAGCTGGGAGGCCAGGGGTTTCAGAGGCTGCCTGGGAGAACTCGACCTCTGAGCCCTGCAGGAGTGCTTCATCTTTTGCTTGGGCAAGTAAAATAGAGCTGCAGCCCTGGGGACTGAGATCTAATCTGTTTTCTAATGGCTGCAGAGCAATGAATGGCTCTCTCCTCAAGCCAAAAACACCCCCTTCCCCCCAGGAATTAGCAGGTGAAACAAAGTCTGTTCCTGCAGCCCGGTAAAAGAATTCTAGCAGCCAAGCTGCTCCTCTCCTGCCTGGGCCAGTGGTGGCACCTGGGCACCACCTGCGTCTGCCCCTTTAGACGGGGAAAGCAGAAAGAACTCTGGGACCCCGCCTGAGAGATGGTCATCCAACCTAGGCACCTCGCCTGAGCAGAGGAGTCTGCCATGCTGCCCCAGGCAGGCAGGAGTCAGCCCAGAACTAACGAAACCCTTGCTCCAGGGAATGACCGGGCAGTGCTGCCTTGTCAGGCCCCACACTCCTGAACAAGCTGATAGAGAAGCTAATAAACGAGCAGGGTCCAGTTCCTCCTGTTGGCCAAGTAGCTGGACCCTATTGCATCAGGCTCCAGCTCAGGGAATGAGACTGAGACAGCACCTGTCAGTCTGGTGGGCAAGTACAGGTACCTCCATCCTCGTGACATCGGGCCTGTGCTGCAGTGGATGGCTTTGATCAGTAGACAGTCCGATCCCACCTCTAACTCCCTGCACAGATCACCAGAAACACCCTGAACTGGCTTAGGTCTTCGCTCTTGCAGCAAACCCAGGCTGGTTTTATGGGCATCTGAGCAACACACGAGTGCTCTGAGCCGTCCCTTCCAGCTCCATCCTCTTCCTCATGTTGTCCTAAATCTGGGGAGGGCTGGTGGTGATGCAGCGTGGGCTGAAGTGCCTGCTCAGCCTGGGCTCAGCATCATCTCCCCCTCGCTCAGTGCCTGGCGGAGGTCAGCTAAGCTGCTGAACCCAGGCAAGCCTGAGGGGATGCTGGTAGGAAGAGAGAAGTGCTTTGTGAGCTTGCTTCCTTTCTGACCTCTGACCTCAGACTGTTGGGCTACAGCTGTGGGTTCCTGGACTCTGTCTAAAGAATAGCGCTCTGGTGCTGGCATGCCAGCAACGGGAGCCCTGTAAGGACCTGGGCAGACTCTGCCTTTGGCCGGTGATGTCAGGTTGGAGCTGGGGGAGCAGGTAAGAAATAAAGATGCTGTTTCCATGCAAATCTACCTGATCAAGACTAAACCTGGGCAGCCAATTCAGGAAGTCCGGCCTGGAACTGGAGTGACTGAAGCTGGGAGTGTAGGTGCATGACTGGCTGGCAGGAGCTGCTGGTCTAAGGTGCAACAGAGGAGCTGCCACTGGTTGTGAAGCCGCAGGAAATGCCCTGCGCCAAGGTCATTATTGCTGCTCTGGGCTGATGCTGGAACCGCATGGGCACGTTGCGACTTTCTTGATGGGTGGTGCAGGACATGGCTTTGCATAGACCACCATGAGCCGCTCGGATACTCGCAGCCCCTCCCAACGTGGTTAGTCAAAGTATTGGCTCAAATAGCCCTGCAAACCACCTCACAGGGTTTGTTCGCTCTCTGGCCCCGCCCTGAAGCTGTTAGTGTCTCATTCCTCAGGGAGCCAGCCCCCTCACAGGGGAGCCTGTTGTGAGCACGTTTCCCCTCTGTGCCGATTCCTCCACTGGCTTCCCGCTCGCTTCCATCACCAGTACAGGGCCTCGGGCCTGATCTCCAAAGTCATCAATAGGTCTGATCCAGCTGTATCGGTCACTCTGTCTGCACCCAGTGTTTGTCAGGGCAGCTGTCTCTGCGTCAGTGTGGTTTACAAAGCCCAGGGCAGTTTACGAAAAAGTGACTTCCCCCCAGGGTGTTCAGCTTCCAGAGGAAATTAGACTTCTCCACAGTCCAACTCCCTTCCCCACCTTGAGGACAGGGGGAAGGGCTGCTCTGCAGAAGGAAGCTTTTCCACTATGGTTAGATAATGCCTCTTTTAACCGGGGAGGGGAGAAGAGCGCTAGGCCCTTGCTGCGTGGGTTTCAGTCAGGGAAAGCACTGAGATGCCCACAATGGGCGTTTTAGGAGCTGGCGTGCAGGTTCACTGCATGTGGCTGACCTCCATTCGCGTTAGCACTGCAGGGAGACAGGCCAAAGCGGGCGGCTCCAGAAGGCCTGCAACAGGATTCCTGTACATGTGGAAGTTTTCCAAGTGAGATAATCAGAAGCCAGCGAGGTTTGTGATGGTGTCTGCTTTACATACACTGCACTGTGCTGCTGAGAGATGCCAGGCTGAGCTGTCCTTTATCACCAAAACAGGGGTAGTAGGAGCAGAAGCTTCCTCTTGTGCTTCTGCTCCCCGTGGGGTACACCGCCCTGTTCACAGGGTGCCCCTAGAAACTCTGGGGTGGCAGCATGGCCTAGTGGGTAGATCTGGGAGCTGGGAATCAGGTCTGCTGGCCTCCAGCCCCAGCTGTGCCGCTCTAGTCCATGGCAGACCCTGACCGTGACAGCACTTCCCTGCTTCACTGGGGATTGGCTCAGTGCTTGGTGCTCTTCCATCCGCAGAAGCAGGAGGCTGGGAATGCAAGGCATTAAATGAGCTGCCAGCAGCCCCCTTCAGGGGAATGTGGCTATCAGCATTGCTGCCTGCTGCACCTTCCCTTCCTTTAACTACATCCTTGGCCAAAGTCCATTCAATCAAGCTGGGGACCATGTCGTGATGGGATTTCTCCTAGACGGCGGCAGCGTGCCTCCATAATTAAGGCTAAGATTTTATCATGGTTATTTTTAGTAAAAGTCATGGACAGGTCACGGGCAATAAAGAAAAAAATCACAGAAGCCGTGACTTGTCTGTGACTTCTGCTGCTGCGGCTACATGGTTTCCCCTGCTGTTGTGGTGGCCGGGAGCTGTGGGGTTCCCCCTCTGCCCGCGGCAGCTGGAAGCTGCAGGGGGGCCTCCCTCCACCCACGGCGGCTGAGAACTGTAGGGTGACCATATTTCCCAAAGAGAAAACATGACACACCCAGCCGCTCACCAAAGGTGCCGCCCTCCACTGTGTGAGGCTGTCGCCTGTCGCTGGAACCCTCCCGGGACCCCGCTGGGTGCCAGCTCCGATCCCTCAGCCCCTGGGGCTGAAGCAGAGACTGTCACGATGACCTCCGTGACATAAACATAGCCTTATCCATAATGCAGTGTGGCAGGCATTGGTATCGTTTTTGCAGCTGGTTAGATTGACCTTGGTGATGGAAAGGTCAAAGTTCACATTTGGGGGTTTGTTTTCTGCATTCAGCAGCCCATAACCAAAGCTGGCAGCAAACAGCAGGGTTCTAGCTCAGGGTGGGGCACACGACCGATAGCGCAGTCACCTTGTGCAAGTGTCCGCGTGATATTAAATAACCAAATTCACAAATGCTTGTCCTGGCTGCGTGGGAAGTGCAGTGTGCAAACGACTCTGCATAACCTAGGGTGACCAGATGTCCCGATTTTATAGGGACAGTTCCGATTTTGGGGTCTTTTTCTTATATAGGCTCCTATTACCCCCCCACCCCCTGTCCCGATTTTTCACATTTGCTGTCTGGTCACCCTAGCATAACCCTTCTCTCTTCTCTTTCCAGAATTCGTTGAAGAAAAGGGGATCTCGTTCTGTGGGGAAGACTGAAAAGAAGCCTTCAGTCCAGGTACCCAGACTGTAGCCAGTCAGGCCCTCCTAGGGCCATGTTGACTATCCATGGTGTTGTAGAACTCGAAGAGCCATGCTCACCCTGCAGGTGGCCAGTCCTGGCATAGCAGTGCAACCGTGCACATGGAAGTGTCGTGCCTTAATTTGTGTGGCCCTGGTGAGTCGAGTGGCCCCTGGGGAATGGTTCTGGTGAAGGGTTTCTAATAAAGGGTTTGGAACGTAGCTCCCGAGGCCTGGAACTTGGCCCCACCAAGGCACCGGAGGTGCTAAGTGGACTGGCCGGCCTGCTCAGCCATGGAACGATGCTGGTGCTGCAGAGAGCCATGTCGCTGACTTTCTCTGCGGACGAGCTGGGGCTCTTCTCTGGAGAACATCCAATGGCTGAGGAGCAAATGGAGCATCTGCCCCAGCAGTGCTCCCACCTGGGATGCTAACAGTCGCTTTTCTAGGGAGTGCTACAGAGTTCATGCTCTCACCCCCACGTGGCTGGGTGGGGAGGCGGATGAGCATATGGCGTACTGAGTGATGTGCTCTGTAAGGAATCTCAGCCAGGCCTACTTGGCCGGAGGGAGGATACTTATGACACAGCTAGAGAGTCAAGCCTGAAGAAATGGGGTGGGGCTCAGAACAGTCCAGACTCCATTGGGGTAACGAGGATCCATTAACCAGAAAACTACTCACGCCCAATATGTAGCTAAGTGCCCTTGCTTTAGACCTTGGCTCTGTGCCTAGCTGCATGGGATGGATGGGGACTAAATGGCGGGGTTGCCCGCAATAACAGGGAACTGGACCCGATGACCCAGGAGGTCCCTCTGAGTCCCACGTCCTGTTCCCGTGTGCCTGGTGGAGAGAGCTCTGTGCGTGGCTAGAACAGTGACCCCAGCACCACTTGGGCAGTTTTGACACTGTGAGATAATATTTAAAAATCTGAGCCAAAGCTCAGCCTGCAGAGAGGGTGCTGTGCCCTGGCTATTGGGTGATTGTGTGTGTCCCATTCACACCTGCCTCTGCAGCACGGGCCATTGCCCACGGGCATGCTAAGGTATCCGTGTTGCTCAGACGGTTTAGTGGGTGCAGCTGAGGGGTCTCTGTCCAGAAGTCTGGCCTTATAAACTTCCCGAACATTGTGCACTCTGTATCCCTGCCTTGCACAGGACACTGGACAACGCAGCAGTTATGGGCTCTCTCCACTGGTGGAAGGATTTTGTCTCTCAGTGATTGATGTGTTCAGTGGCTTTGACTTGCTAATAACCTGACCCGGGGTGTGAAGGTTCAGAGTTGGTGTTGTCACTGCAGAAATGAAAGCGGTTTATTGTTCGTAAAAGCCTCTCTCAAAGGCTGTCAGCATTTTAGAGGTAGGAAAGGACTGACCGGTAACGTCTTCATCGTTCATTGCTCTGGTTTGTCTCCAACATCCAAACGCCTGATGTTGAGTTCTTGAGCTGCATTAGTTAATCCTGAATAACAGTGGAATATCTGAATTACATGTAACCCAAGACTGGCAGCAATGCCAAGGGGGTTCATTAGAACGATACAGTGATACAAAGGAAATAACATGAGTCTGCTGCAGCAGAATGAGTGTTAGAGGAAATTCCAGCTCATTGCATTGCAGGGTTAAACTTATGGCCTTGCTCAAATCTGCAGTGAGGATAAAATTGGTCTTCCAGCGCGCGCGCACACACAGAATGGTCCTCAGTTGGTGTCAATCAGCATAGCTACACGGATGTCGGTTGAGCTGAGGATCTGGCCTGCCATCTGTATGTGGGGGCATAGCGTGGAGGGCGCGCACACAGATTCACACACCCGTACAAAGTAGCCACTGGAATAGCAGGTGTATCTTCCCTGCAGAGTTAGGGAAAGGTCCAGGTCTGCTGAGAGTTTGTCTTGCCCCCATACCTGCGCAGTGAGGATAAACCTGATAATCCACTGCCCACCGTGACAGACTTGGTGGTGGTTCTGAAATCATTGACCAGGAAGCAGTCTGTGATTTCCCTTTGCAGGGTGTTTGAGTGTTAGCCGATCTCTTCGGTGGAGGGGACATGCTGAAGAATGGGGGGCTGTTTCTGCTGGTTTCTTTTCCTTTCATTTGTGGCTTTTCTTCCGTCCTCCCGTATTTCATCAGTGGAGGAGCTTGGTCAAGACAATTGGATGTTCCACAGAGCACACGTCTGTACATGTGTTGGGCACTATGGCTAATGGTCAGGTGCACCAGTTTGCACGTTTGAGCTGCACTTGGAAATGCTGTCCCCTCTGCCATCTTTGTCCCTCCTAGTGGGAGACGTTCAGGCCTTTGACAACATCAAAAACATTCTTACAAGACATTGTTGAGACTGAAATACAAAACCATCCCCACTTCCTCCTAATGAGATACCACAAGGGGCAGAGGGAACAAACCCAACCCAACTCCAAGCCACAGGACATAAATCTCGTGTTTCTCAGGCTGTCAACTTCATGGAGCTAAGACAGACCCCGTGGCTGCTGCAGAGCTGGCTGAGTTCTGGAGATGGACCCCCCAGATTGTCCAGAAATCCCTAGGGTGTGAGCAGTATGCTGGTGGGCAAGGGTGGGCAAAGGGATTAGGCTGTCCATGCTATTCAGCGAAAGGGTCTGGGGGATTTGAGGCTCTGCCTCATGTGAGTTATGACCGTCGCTGTCTCAGCACTGTGGGTAAAACTGGAAAGATCAGCAAGACTAGCCCCTTCCCGTGATGTGACTGATGTAAGCCGTGACGAGTGCAGCATGAACATCTAGAGAGAGGGCACCCTTCTGCCCACCCTTATCCACGTTCGTTTCCTCACTTGTATGTCTCAGGGGGAGGGAGCGCTGTTCGTGGGTAAGACTCAGCACTGTTACTTGTGTGCTATGGGCTATTGTCTGTGACGGCTTTGATTCATGATTGATCGCTGATTTAGAGAGTTCCTGGGGCCACATCCTGCTCACATCTGACTGGTGTAGTACGAAATGTGACTCTGTTCAAATGAAATGGGTGTTAGATGGAAATCAGACAGACTGCTAGAGGTGGGCTTCCTTCCGTCTGTCGTCTGAGTGTTCAGAGAGCACCATTTCCCATCACGTCTAGGGCTCTGATGGTTCCAGGCCAGTGCTTTGGCAGTTCTAAGTGTGTTGATCTTCAAGACTAAGACCTGAATTTTCTCAAGATCTGAGCTCCCATTCAGGCACCTAAGCAAGGGGCAGATTTTAAAGGGTACCGCATCTTAGGAGCTGAGATCTTTTGAAAATCTGGCCAGGAGTGTCCCCATGGGAGCTGCGGGGAGTTGTGTGTTTTGAAAATCTGTAGGTGCCCAAATGAAAACCTCTCCTGGACAGGGCCGGCCAGAGGATTCAGGGGGCCTGGGGCATAAAAAAAGGCGCCACCCGCTGCGGCGCTTGTACTTACCGGGCGGCGCTCCGAGTCTGTGGCGGCACTTGGGCAGCGGGTCCCTTCACTCACTCCGAGTCTGCGGCGGCACTTGGGCAGCGGGTCCCTTCACTCACTCCGGGTCTGCGGCGGCACTTGGGCAGCGGGTCCCTTCACTCACTCCGAGTCTGCGGCGGCACTTGGGCAGCGGGTCCCTTCACTCACTCCGAGTCTGCGGCGGCACTTGGGCAGCGGGTCCCTTCACTCTCTCCGAGTCTGCGGCGGCACTTGGGCAGCGGGTCCCTTCACTCTCTCCGGGTCTTCGGCGGCACTTGGGCAGCGGGTCCCTTCACTCACTCCGAGTCTGCGGCGGCACTGAAGGACCCGCCGCCGAAGACCTGGAGGGAGTGAGAAGTGCCGCCAAAGACCCAGAGCGCCGCCGGGTGAGTAAAGATTAAAAAGGCGCCTCTACCCAGGGAAGGGATTCTCGGCCAGGGCTCGCAGGGCCTGGGGCAAATGCCCCACTTGCGCCCCCCCCCCCCCCCCCCCCCCCCCCCCCCCCCCC